ATACAACCAGATCAAGATGCATCACGAAGAATGCCAGAAAGCCTTTGATGAATTGAAGTCCTACCTCGTCTTGCCCTATCTGCTTACATGACCCCTCCCGAGAGAAACCTTGCTATTGTACCTCTCGGTCGGGGACGAGGCCATCAGTTTTGTTCTGGTATGAGAAGACGAAGGAGTACAGAGGCCAATCTAATATGTCAGTAAGGTCCTCTACGACATTGAGAGTAGGTACCCCGAGGTGGAGAAGCTAGCCTTTGCATTGGTGGTCTCAGCCAGGAAACTCACGCCCTACTTCCAGGCTCACAGCATCACAGTATTAACCAGCTAACCCCTCAAGTCTGTACTCTCTAAGCCAGAGACCTCAAGTCAGCTAACCAAATGGGCCATCGAATTGTCTGAATTTGACCTTCACTACCAACCGAGGCCCGCAAATAAAGCACAAGCACTAGTAGACTTCCTGGTGGAGTGAACCTTCAGTAGAGCCCTCGGCCAGGCACCCAAAGTAGATGAGGGGTCTCGGCCTACCTAGAGACTGTTTGTAGATGGGTCTTCCAATGCCAAAGGGAGCAGAGCAAGCCTCATACTTCTCACCCTTGATGACAACGAGGTGGAATATGCACTATGGTTCGGCTTCCCTGCCTCCAACAATATAGCTGAGTACAAGGCCTTGCTCATCGAACTACAACTCACCAAAAACCTCGGAACCAAGAACATTGAGGTTTTCAGCGACTCACAACTAGTCGTGAACAGGGAGCATGAAGCCAAAGAAACAAATATGGCTAAGTACTTAGATAAACTCCGAGATCTAGCCAACCACTTCCAGCACCTCACCCTATAGCAGGTTCCTCGAGCCGAGAACATGAGAGTTGATGCCCTATCTAAACTGGCAAGTAGCTCAAGTTTGGCCCTCGGTCGCTCTGTACATATTGAGAAACTTGCATGACCCAACATTGAAGAGAAGTAGGTGTGTCCCGTCCAAGCTGAATTTTGTTGGATGGACCCCATCCTCGCCTATCTGCAGCATGAGAAACTCCCCTCCGACAAGAATGAAGCAAGGAAAGTCCGACGGTAGGCAACCCACTACGCCCTACTTGAAGGCAAACTGTATAGAAGATCTTTCACCTTGTCGTACCTCAAATGCCTCCACCGAGAGGAGGGTGAGTATGTGCTCAAAGGGATTCACGAAAGCATCTGCGGCAACCACCTCGGAGGTAGAGCCTTAGCACAAAAGGCACTAAGGCAGGATATTTCTGGCCGACCATACAGAAGGACGCCGCCGAGTTAGTGCAGAATGTGACTGATGCTAGAGACACTCCAACATCTCCCATCAGCCAACCATAACCCTCTTGGCCCTCAGCGGTCCATGGCCCTTTACAAAGCGGGGAATGGACCTCCTCGGACCATTCCCTCAAGCCATCGGGAACAAGAAATACCTTGTCGTCGTGGTAGACTACTTCACCAAGTGGGTCAAAGCCGAGCCCTTGGCAACCATCATGGCTAAGACAATCCAAAACTTCTTCTGGAAAAACATTGTTTGCTGTTTTGGCATCCCCCACATGCTCATCATTGGCAACGGAAAATAGTTAAACGACGCAAGGTTTAGAGAATGGTGTGCAAGTCTTGGGATAAAGCAACAGTACACCTCAGTCGGTTACCCCTAGACCAACGGCCTAGACGAAGTCACTAACAGAACCATCCTGGAGGGATTGAAGACAAGGTTGGACAGAGCCAAGGGACTTTGGGCATATGAGTTGTATAGCATCCTTTGGGCCTATAGACACCTTGGACCGCCACAGGTGAGATCCCTTTCAACTTGACATATGGGACCAAGGTCGTCATCCCAGCAAAAATTGGCCAACCAACACTTCGGACCGAGGCATGCAATGAGGTCGAGAATGATGAAGAGATGAGAAACAAAGGGTTGCCAGATACTACGACTTCCGGGTGAGAGAGAATCACTTCAAAGAGGGTGACCTCGTCCTTAGAAAAGTCATGGTGCCCGAGCCTAGTCGAAAAACATGACCCCAACTGGGAAGGGTCCTACACAATTAGGCAGGTGGTCGGCCACAACACCTTTCGGGTAGAGTACTTGAGTGGAAGATTGGTACCTCGTACTTGGAACTTCGAGAACCTCCAAATGTACTACCAATGATGTAACCTCATTAGTAAATACTTTATCAATGAAGTGTTCAAAGTTCCCCCCACCTCAACTCAAATTTTTAGTATAAACATTCTTACTTCATATAGCCGCCAGGACCCCTCGGCCGCACGACTAGCCATGGCACACAACCTTTACTACGTTTATACGCCCAGACTAAACAATGGCCATGGAACACGACTCTTGAAGAGTCATACACCTACTCGCCTTTTGGCTAAGGCAAAGAACTTTCGGGACTTCGGCCACTATATCAGCCTACTACCCAATGCAAACTAAGATGAATAAACACACTAAACGGGTAACACTACTTCGCTAAGGCAAAGGCACTCCGTGACCTTGGCCATGCACCATTCACTGGGCTTCGGCTACGCATGAGTCCATTCTCTAAGTCCCTAAGGAACAAAGCCAGGCAGGCTAAAGCTATCACCTCCCTTTTCTTCTAGTTGAGGAAGGGGCCCCGAATCCTCGGTGACGAAGCTCGGCCTCGGTCTAACTACCTTAACAAGAAAAAAAGATAAAGATAAAGAAAGAAAAGAGAGAGAAAAGGCATAAGATTTGCAAAAAAACTTAGTCTATCTTCATTCATTTCTTTGCACTTTGCGTTTTACAAAAAATTGGCCTCGAATGGGGGAGGTCAAGCCCCTTACAAAAAGTTAGCAAAAGCAAAAAAGAAAACTAGAGTTGTACGAGGAGGATAGACAAAAACTATTCAGAGGAGGTCCTATCCCTGCACGAAGCAACTTCAAGCCTCGACTTCCACGCATTTGTTGGCTACCTCAGGTTGTGTAGACTGCTCGTTGCCGACTTGGCCCTCGGAGGGCTGCATCGCCTCGGCTGGTCCTATCGCCTCAATAGTCAGATCACTTGAAGATTGGATCCCCAACAGGCTGACGTCAAAATCTGGTTGAAGCACCAACACCTGAGCCTTTGCGTCTTCGATGCCCTCCAAATAAGAAGTGACACCAAATTGGGTCATCTCATCTTTATAGGCGTCAGTGGTCTTGTACTCTTCAACGGCCCAAGCCGAGGCCTTTTGTGCTTTCTACTTGGCCTCCTTTATCTTCTTCTCGGCCTCTTTCAGGGAAGCTTGAGTAGCCCCAGCTGCTCCCTCTTCATCGAGACTTCAACCTCCAGCTCCTTTCAACGGCCATGCTCCTCACAAGATGCCAGAACAGATGCCTCTCGGCCGGTCTATGCCTCGGCCAACTAACGCTTTAGCTGGTTGTTCTCCTCCTGAGAGGTCTTGAGTTGCTGAAAAAGGACCTCGACTTTGTTGCACAGGTCGACAGCGGTGGAAGACGTCTACAAGGAGCAAACCATCGGCAAATAAGAAAGAAAAGTGAAGAAAAAATGACTAAGTATAAAGAGAAGAAACCTCACCTCTGCTAGCCGATCCAGCAAAGTATCTTGAACCCCTTGGACGGTCACCTGGGTCCAGGACTACCTATCCCCTGTCAGGAGCATTCCGGTCACTAGGGCTTGGCCAACCCCTAGGGTGCTAAGGGTGCCACTCTCCCTGACACTCCAGTCGGGCAAAAGACTCTACGAGCCGCCAACGGCATGTCGTCGCAGCAGTCAAAAGAATGGGGCCTCGACTGCCGAGAACCCCAGCAGTGCCCTCGGCTTGGTGGTCCTTCACTACCAGTTTCTTCCCCCTCAAAGCTTGAGGGGCCTTTGACCAAGGCGGTTTCTTTGGGGTGGACCTCTTCGATGGCCCCTCTTGGTAGACTTCGTCATCTACATGAGATGTTCCTTGATGCCACCGTTCATCTCTATAATACACAAAGAAATAAGTCAGAACAAGGACAAAGTAAAACGAGAAGACGACACAGATAGCCAACAACAAGAGTGCCCATATTGGACGTATTAGTTGTGTAGTGGGCTATAAAACTAATGATAAGTGATAAAATACAAGGGATTTACAATTGTGGGCAAAGTGTTTTATAATTAGTGTGGAGCATTATTATTGGTTTCACAACCTGCTGAACGGCTATTGCATTTGGCTAATTTCTATGTGATATTAACTCATTAAATAATAAAATAAAAAAATTATATTGACAATTACCCATTCATTGATTACAAGTTTTTCCAGTATCATGTCTTTTTTAATATCATAATCGAACTTTAATATTTTTATTTCCGTTTTATAAAAATGGGTCCATGTTATTCGAACCATAAATTAATTTTTACTGATATATATTGGACGGTGGAGATCATCGGGATGTGTCAAGGGTTCTCTTAGGGCCTACTAGTTGGTGGGTCCTCCGCGTAAGATTCAAATATGATTATTGAGTTGCACCTGAGCAGGTTAATTCTCAATAAGTCAGTAATGAGCTTCGATTTGCAATCAGGGGTGCAACTTGAGTGGACCTAATTCGATCTGGAACTAACGCAGCTCGCAATTTTAAATGGACTGGGTTTGGATTTTAGGGCCTCGGACTGGCCCAAAATCTTAGGCTTTTTTATTTTTTGGCCAGGCCCAAGCCTATTCCTTGAATAGCTTCAACAATTGGAACTTGCTCTCAGGCTCAGGCTGGGCTCGTACCTTAGGCCTAATTCTTTGGGTTGGCCCAGCCCGCCCAACTTGTACCCCTATTTCTGACCGCACTGTCCAACAGACAACGTGGATGGAGATGGACCATGGACGTTGTGGAAAGGCTTCCGTAATTTTGTTTAAAATTCAGTGGGCTAATTAGAAGTAACCATGGTCTTCAACTCTTTCGTAATTTTGTTCAAAATTCATGGGCTAAAAGTATCACTTTCTTCATCCGTAATTTTTTCAAAATTTATGGGCTCAATGAAACATTGCTTCACTCTCCTCCTCTCTCTCTCTCTCTCTCTCTCAAAGTCAAAACATTTAGCAAAAATCCAACTGTACTCTCACCCTCTCGTCCCTGCTCTACTGCCTTTTTTATTCTTTTCAAAAAGATAAAGAGAACCACGGAGTAGTAACTCGGAGCTCTCTCTCTCTCTTCATAATCGATTGCATCGACAGATCGAAGGTAAGGAAAACCATTCTTAGAAATTTCTACTTTTTTTTTCGTGTTCTATTTTTGTTTCATTGATTTTTCTTGAACTCCTTTCACTTGAATTAATTTTCTTCTACTTCGACTTAAGATCTCTTCCGAGATTCTGGAATTAGGGTTCTCAGAAACCCAATAAATGAAAGAAGCGAGCCCGACAGAGCCAATAGGGCAGAACCTTATCAAACTCATCAGCAATGTCTGCTTCTCCGTCTTCGTCTTCTCCGTCCTTATATTTACTGTAATTGCGATTACCTACCAACCTCCCGATCCATGGCTTCAATCGTCCAAAGCCCTTACCAGGGTTTTCACAGAAGTTGAGAACGCTACTTTCAAAATCGACGGTTCCGTCCTCCCAACCGGCGAGGATGTCGGCATTGCCCCTGTCGTATCACCATCCGCCGTTGTTCAGATCACCGAAGCCTCAATTGAGAAATCTGAAGAGAAAATGGTGAACTTGAGTTCTCTTCCAAGCTGCGACGAATCTCTGAAGACTGTCAATTGTTCTGATCCGCGTGTCCTGATTGCCATAGAGAAGTTTAATCTTAAGATCTTCAAATCGATCGTGTTCTTGGAATATCAGACGCCAGTAAATGGATCGAAACCGAATGAATGTGATGTGGCCTGGAAGTTTCGGAACAAGAAGGAGAAGTCTTGGCGCAAGTACAGGGATTTCAGGAGGTTTAGGATCGGTATCGGAGAGAATTGTAGCTACAGAGTTACCGGTGCCAATGGCTGGCATTCGGGGATAAACGCTAGGCGGCCAAGGCCTAAATTGAATTCGACAAAGAGCACAGGAGCTCCCAAGGCTTCTTTGGCTATTCGCGATGATGAGATCAATGACACTATCCCTACTGTTGGATCGGAGGCTGCTTTCAGGAAGGGGAGGTATCTGTACTATTCGCGTGGGGGGGATTACTGTAAAGGAATGAATCACTTCCTCTGGAGTTTCTTGTGTGGTCTTGGAGAGGCACAGTTTCTGAACAGAACATTTGTTATGGATCTGAGTATGTGCTTGGCCGCAACCTATAATCCGAGTAACAAGGATGAGGAAGGAAAGGATTTCCGGTACTACTTTGATTTTGAGCATCTTAAGGAGACGGCTTCAATTGTGGAGGAAGGAGAGTTTCTGAAGGATTGGAAGAAATGGGATAAGACCCATAAGAAGAAGATCCCCATTAGGAAGGTTGCAAGCTACAAGGTTACATCAATGCAACTTAAAAGGGATAAGAGCACAATTATATGGCGGCAATTCGATGCACCGGAGCCGGAGAATTACTGGTACAGAGTCTGTGAAGGGCAGGCTGCAAAGTATGTGCAGAGACCCTGGCATGCTATATGGAAGTCAAAGAGACTGATGAATATTGTTTCTGAGATTAGTGGGCGGATGGACTGGGATTTTGATGCAGTTCATGTTGTTCGAGGAGAAAAGGCACAGAATAAGGAGCTCTGGCCACATTTAGATGGTGATACATCTCCAGGTGCCCTCTTAGAGAAGCTTAAAGGGATGATTCAGCCTTGGAGAAATCTGTATATTGCTACCAATGAACCATTCTATAACTATTTTGATAAGTTAAGGTCTCAATACAAAGTCCATTTGCTTGATGATTACAAGGAGTTATGGGGAAATACCAGTGAGTGGTACAATGAGACCAAGCTCTTGAATGACGGACGCCCTGTTGAATTCGATGGGTATATGAGAGTGGCAGTGGACACTGAGGTCCTGTACAGGGCAAAGACACGTGTAGAGACATTCTATAATTTGACAAAGGATTGCAAGGATGGCATCAATACATGCTGACCCAAGGCGGAGGCAGAACCTTTACCAGGTTGATGTTGAGAATGGAATAGCTGCAAGACTTCTTGGTCAATTGCTTGATAATCTACTTTTCATTCTTTTTTTTTTTTTTTTGAGGTAAGAATACTGCAAAGATCTTTTCAGGCCTGTTGTTTTGTTGTTCTTCTATTATATTCATTTACCCCATTGTCTACATCAGGCTGATTTCTGTATGATATATTCAACAATTTTTGTCATTGATTCCTTATATTTATATCCTACTATATCTTGTAGAGATACACTAAAAATGGCTCAAATCCCTTTCTGTATTTGTCTTACCCTACATAACCATTTTAAAGAAACCAAACAAGACAAGCAAGACGAGAGAAGGGGAGGTATTGATGATAATTAAAGGTTATGGATCACATTTTCAAGCAGCTGAACTGATGGAATCACATGCAGCAGATCCAGATGTTGAAAGTTCATGTAAAAGAATAGTAGTTTTTCTAGCCTAATCTTCATCATTTTAGAAGAAAAAAATGGTAGGCCCTCCCCTGTGGTACCATGGTGAGATAAAATTAAGGTTAATGGTGAATTGTTTTTGTCTCATTGTGGCCGTCATTCCCCAAATTTTCGAAGGACAGATTGATACTGAGCTAGGATTGTTGCACTTAGAATGCCTTCTGCTTTGTTTGCAATACATCCATCTTACAACAAGGGTTCATACTGCAATTAGGAATGCAATTCCAGAGTAGGAACTATTAGAGGGTCCTGAACAGACCATTAACTTGGTGGGTAAATTTATACAGTGCCAACCCATGAATATCTGACAATTAGGAAGCTATGGATCTTAGCAAACTGTCTCAAGTTTGTTGCAGTTTGATAATAAGTAGCTACTTCAAATAATTTGATATTGAAAATCCAGCTTGACATTCCCAACCACAGAAATTTGGTGTAATATAACTTGACCCCTTAACATCAGATAAAAAACAATCTCCAAGCTTTGGTAATTTGGGCCATTCTTTACCATCTATTAATTTCCACTCTCAGCATCTTGTTTAAATACGAGAAAGAGGTACTACAATGTCCTAAGTCTGAATTTCAATTGTTCTTTACCATCTATATATATTCTTGAGATATTGAATAAATGAACTACAACAGGAACAATATTCTCCTTCGGAGGTTGCTGAAAGAAAAAACAGATTAGGTTTTGGAATATTTTGTGATTCCCAACTTTACAGGTTATACTCTGAGGCTCTGAGATATTGAATAAATGAAGTCACCAGGTAGCTTCTTCAGTTACAACTTGCAGTTTTTCAATTCCGTCGACCTCGACTGAAGGGGGTCTATTAGAATGTTGATACATTACTTCCATTATTAAATGGGATATAAGAATGTTTACACTCTCTGAATAGGTGAGAAGTCACACTCATACGAGTCTAAAATTTGTTGAGCCTTAGAAGAATGATAAGGATGAGGCCCCATACGTATTCCTCCTCCATTACCAAACATGAAACACCTCTTATCAGAGTAGGTTATGATCAAGACTTAATAGCGGTTGATGATACACAGATATGGCTCCTTGCACCGGTGCTCCTATGAATTGGTTAACCTGTACCTGTCCCCCGTATTATAAGCTATTTCCATGAGAAACATCTAAGGTGGTAATTTGCCAACCCCAATCTGTATGAAAATCTTGTTGATTTGGCGGGTTTTTTTTGGAAAACAAAGTCATACGTATTGATGAATACACTCTCTAGAGGCTGTTAATGGATTCGGAAAGTCTGAAACTGTCATTGGTTTCAATTATCTTGAACTTGTATAGATGTTAGAACTTGTATCCGATCAATAAGCGTATTGGATGCGGATTTAGCCTCCTCCAATCTAATTAAAATTCTAGTCGGATGGGGAGATGGGGTTATAACCAATGTTTTTGAACCGTAGTTGACCTGGATGGTCGGACCATTCATGCGACTGGTTCCGTTTTATCCCAAACTTGGCATTTGGTCAAAAGTCGTTGAATTAGTCAATGAAACGTTGACCCAGACGGTTTGACTGTTAAACTGTTCGACTTGTAAAGTTTTAAAATTGAAAAATCTCAGATCTGAGACTGAGAGAAATCTCAGATCTATGCAGATCTGTCTTTCTCGTGTGAGAAGGTGAGAGAGATCTGAGATGTGTGAGATAGATATGCGCGAGACGGTGAGAGAGAGTAAGATTTGAAACTGAGAAATCTCAGATCTGCCACCATGGCAGCCGCTGTTTCCATTGTAGTTTGCCATCGTCGTCATCATCATTGTTGCCGCTGTAAGTCACCGTCACCGTTGCAAGCCAGCAACTTGCAAGTCCTCGTCCTCCTCCTCCTCATCTTCTTCTTCTTCTTCTTCTTCTTCTTCTTCTAAACTCTTTCGGTTCAGCTAACAATTTTCTCAAATCTCTCTCATTCAAAGTTTTAACCCTTATTTTCTCTTATATAGTATGCATCTTACCATAATATTCCAATCTAATGGGTAAAATGTTCAAACCGTTCGAACTGTTTGACCTGGACGATCGAACCATTGACTCGGAAACCGGTGGCCAGAACGGTTCCGTTTCCAGGTCAGTTTTTAAAACCTTAGTTATAACTCATGAGTTTAATATTCTATGTTTATATAAATTCATTATATATGTATAGGTTAAAAAGTAGTTATTTTTTTAAAAACCTTTTTTTTTTCCGAGTTCCACATATCAGATTTCAAATTTTTAGAGCTAAATCCAATCCAAATCCAATTTGATTACAGTACTAACTGATGGTGCGTGATCTAGATGCTCTTAGCTATAGGGCAGCTCAGACGTCTGTCGCCAAATAGGTCACTCGAACTGCAAAGAAAGGGATGTATCAAAGAACCCGGGGTGGCTAACCCGGCGAGATTGCTCTGATGCTTAAGTTAGTAATAGTATATGCGAGCTAAAAGTTTGAGAACAAGGAGAGCTAGAATGCATAAATCGTGCGTACCTTTTCGTGTCATTGGGGTTGGTACCTTTATATAGGCTTTGTTTGGCATGGGTTTCACGCAATGCATCCAAGATTTTCAGGAAGTTGCCTAACCGGTCCGAGATCCCCGGAGGTAACCGCCACGCATGTTGGCCATCCTCCGGAACACTCGGTATGTGGGCCAACTTTCGAGAAACTTGGGAGTGTCGGGATATGCATACCGAATTTGTTGGTGAGCACAACTCGTTGGTCACCTCCTGGACCCCAATCAAGTCGGCAAGCCCTCGAGGGAGGTTGCTCCTCGCGTCGAGGTCACATCGGCCAGTGACGAGGTGCTACAAGTCGACCATAGACGAGGTGCTCCTAGCCGGCCTAAGTTGTGGTCGAAGTCGCTAGGTTGGTGGTAAAGGCAGGTCGCCAGGTCGGGACGAAGACAAAAAAATACGATCTGGGACTCTAAATCATTGCCTAGGTGGCATTTGGGTGTTGCCCAGCTATTTTGGGATGCCATGTGTCACAATGTCATTGGAGGGCCAAATCCACCCTCATCACTAACCCTATTTTGTTTTAAAATCCATTGATGTTTTTGAAATCCATCAAAGTTCTGATAGGAGATCATATTATATAAAGTGAACATTTGCTTTGATCTTGATGCAGTTTATAAAAGCTAAATCAAATCATCATATATGTTAACTTATATCTTTACCCTTTTATCTCGCCATTATAGATATTTTTGCAAATATGTTTTTCAAATCAGAAATTCGAAAACACATTATTAAAATCTTTTTTGGTAAAAGAAATATAGGTCTTATATCTCGATAATACTGCCTAGGGCTGGGGTACCTTAGTCTCAGGTAAGTACCCATTGCCAAGTTTGGATCTGCTAACAATACCATTGGTCAGTTCATCCAGCCACACATCCGGAATATATCTGCTAGAATAATATATGGATAAGAAGATATTACCGGTCCAAAATGGGATTACTTGCTGGTTCTGGATCCACGTCCACAGTGTTTTAAATGTAAACAATAATACTGAAATACATGGTTTTCAAAATCGGATTGGACCAGATGGTTGAACTAGAAAAATCGGGAAACGGTTAGGTGATTGGTTCCATTTTACCCTAGAACCGTTATTTTGTCAAAAATCGTTGATTTGGTCAGTAAATTGCTGACCCAGGTGGTTTTGGTCATTTTTATTTTTTTAATTTTTTGTCAGAACGGGCCATTCATTCAGTTTGAATGGTAAGACCATTCAACCCAGGAACCCAGACCCCTAACCGGTTCATTATCCGATTCGATTTTAAAAACTTGCTGAAATGTCTAGCAAAGACTAAGAAATCCCAAGACTACTCCAATCATCACCGATCCACTTCAACAAATGGATTTAAATAGTAAATAATGGGCATATTTTTGTTTAGATTTATATGCTCGTATCTTTAAATATATTTTACATGTAAAAATCTGAAAACTACTTAAAGCAAAGCAGCTAGCAATGGATATGTCTGATAAGGGAAATAAGCTAATGTGGTGTGGAGAACGGGCACACTCTTTTATATATAAAGTAGTGCAATAGCCAAACTAAAGGCTGCGAGCTTAGACATACTACAAAAGTTGAAAGCTCTATTTCAGCTTCTGGCTTGGAAACCAAGCAATAGTATCCTCCCGAAGGAGGTGGCAGATAGGCACAGTCCCGGGCTTAACCTTGAGTAATCGGAAGGCCAAGTGCTGAGGATTCCATTTAGACGTATCTGTGTGACACACAGCAATTGCCTTGGCTTTCACCCCATTGGCACCAACCAATGGAACCAAGTATGACCTCGTTCTCTGTATCAAATGGCAGTAGTACACAGAGTATGGGTAGTTCAGACTATGGCACACCACTGGATTGTCGACCATTTTCTGTAGGCCTGAGCCAATCATGTACTGCTGTTTCAGGATCTTCTTCCCACCATTATCAACCTCTGCAGACTTGGCCCAAATCCTTTTCCCCAGCTTTGAAGTGCTGAAGTCGATCATTGATTCTAAGGATGTTGCACAATGCTTGTTCTCTCCATCTTGCGCAGGCGCCTCGCATACCTTGATCGTCTCCTCCATCGCCTCTGCTGCTACCGAGTGCTGCTTGACTCTGAATCGACGTAAAATTTCAGGTAACTTGTTTGATGAGAAGGGTATGGAGTCTGCAACCTGGCGTGGTAAGAAGGTTGCTCTGTTTCTGGTTCCAGTGATATCCAGATTCATCTTTGTGCCTTGGCGCAAGCTTTCGTCCAAGAAGTAATAAGCAACGTTGGGATCAAGATGGAACTTGTCCTTGGAGGCCAGAGACTTTGCATAGTTCACGTTGGATCCATGAGAGTTTCCATAGTTTACATTGAACCCATATGCAACATTGTCATCTGGGTGAAACACAGTCTCCATTCCAACACCTGATCCATGAAGATCTCTGTAGTTTAAGTTGAACCCATGAGAGTTTCCATAGTTTACATTGAACCCATATGCAACGTTGTCATCTGGCTGCAGTACAGCATTTACATTAGATCTGCTGGTTGGCTTCAAATTTCCATCTGAAAATTCAACAACAAAGCTCAAAATAAGAAGCTACTACTAAACCAAATTGGTAAATTTCCTTAATTCTTGAGGCAAACCAGGCCGTAAAAGATCCCGGATTGATTTCGGCATGGGAGCATTGGACACTGATTTCCAGTAAACCTCTGAAGGTAGCAGGTCTGCATGGCTTACTGCAACTGTAGCATGCTGCACGCATAAATTTGGAAGAGAAAATTACTATTCAATAACAAACTTGGTAATAGTAAACTACACATCTCACATCTGTATAATTCAGTAGAGAAGGGTAAAGAAACAATGGACAATGCAAACTGATGGTTTCAAAGAAGAAAATCAACCGGAATTCTCACCACAAGGAAAGCAATGATGGGTAGAAAAGGAAACCCCATTGAAGGGCTTGGCTAATTGGCTTGGAAATTGATAAACAACCAGAAGAAAATCAACACAGAGCTACGTCTGATCTGAGTAAGTTGCGAGCAGAGAAAGGGGAGAGAGCTTAATTTATATTGTATTAAGCACCCAATTGGCAGTATGTACCGACGCCATGGATGCCTCACTAAGTGGTGGATGCATTCATTCACGGGGCTCACAGCCCCACCAGGACGCGGAGAGGAATATTAGTACAGAAAATTTCCCCAGCAGGAGCCCTACTAGTACTAGTCCACTGAGAATATCAATGGATATAGATATATTAGCTCTGTACTTGTCTTGGAATGAGGGCATGGCCATGGCCGCCCAATAATAGTCCAGTGACCTCGAAGTTGCAACCCTATCAAATAAAACTGTCGGTTTCATTTCACACTTGTATTTGAGAACAGCACAAAAATCTGCCTGAATGGAGACAATGTGTAGCAGCATGCAGCCTGTCTGGCCTCGGTTGTCATTGATACCTAAAAATCCGAGGCCCCATCTCATATTCAACCCAATTATTTTATATTTGGATGATATATTTATGTAATCGGATGAAACTCAGATTTTATTATTGATTTAAATATATAAAATTTATATATAATAAATCCATTATGTTATATTTATATTAATTTATTGTATATAAAAGTTGAATGTAATTCACTTTTTATTTTTTATATTTTAAAAAATTAAAGTGAAATCAAATTAAATTTAAATTCAATCCAGGTCCAATCAATTTTCTAATCGGATGTAAATTTTCAATAATCCGGTTGGATTCGGATTTTGTTGAATCCAATCCGATTACAGCCTTAGCTCATGGGACTTTGGGCCAGGCAGGGCCTGGCTTAAGCTATTCTTGCTTGGTGTGAGTCCACTGGCTCATCTCCGCTCAGTGAACTACAACCTCAGCTAAGGGTGTMAATGGACCGGTTTTGGATTAGACCCCTTTCAGTCCAAAATCAATTTAGATAAATTGGACGGATCAACAAGACATATTGGATTGGACCAGTCCGATCCAAAATATTAATTAAATTGGATTGGACCAGTATGATCCAAAATATTAATTAAATTGGATTGGACCTGGTCTGTCTGTAACAAGTTTATATTAGATTGGGTTGGATTAAGCCAATACCTGGTCCATTGATATAAGATAACAATATATGTGTCAATGGACCGGATTTGGGTTGAAACCAATCTAAATCGAAATGAATTTGAACAGATTGGACAGTCCAAATATTGAATTGGACCGGTCCAAATTGGTGCAAAACATTCATTGGATTGAATTGGACCTGGTCCATTTATAATGGACTCACATTGGACTGGATCGCATTGGACCAAATTCAGTCCAGTTGACACCCCTAACCTCAGCTATACTCTTTTTGAAGGGGCAAATCAGCTATACTCTTCAGTTTTTTTTTTTTTTTTTTTGTTAAAAAGGGATCAGTCGTGAATTTTACTAAGAAACTGGATTGGCCCCTCCAAAGTTAAATTTGAGCTTAGGTTGGCCCCAAACCAAGTCCAACACACCCATTAGCATCCCCACCTGCATGGGGCCATGGCCCATGGCCCATGGGCAACTCTTTCATTATTTTCTGACTGAAGAATAGTCTCCATCACAGCTATCATGGGGTCAGATTCCACTAGAATAGATAAGAAGCATGTCGCCTAATGGAAAAAAACAATTCAAGGAAATTTAAGATCTAGGTCAGATACATGAAATAATCAATTAAGACCAGAATGAATTGGTGGGAAAAAAACAAGAAAAATACAGGATAACTGTGTTCTTGTCTGATCTCAATGACTCTATTGGGGTACCTCAGATAAAGATCAGGTAATTCCTATCAACCCATATCATGGTTGATGTTTAACTAATGATTATTGGAACAATCCTATCAATTGAGAGCCCTAGCTCAACAACTTGAATACTCGTTTAAATGATCAAGCAAGTTAGAAGAAAGTAATGTGGCAGACATATTGGAGTAGCCACTTACTCTGCCAGGTGTTTGATAGTCATCTTGACATCCTTAGTTCCTTACCAGATGACTCCTATTATTGTAACTATAGGGCAATTTAGATTTTAGACAGACAATCCATCAATATTTGGCTAGACTGAGGCTTTTGTGTCGGCAAAGTGGGTTAGTGCCATTGTCCACTGATGGAAGGACTACCACTACTACAGCCAATTTGGCCGCCAGCAGAAAGATAAACTACTGCCCTATATCACTATAATCCCTTCTCTGTTTAACTTTTTATCTTTTAGGCTAGGAAAAATATCCTTAATTGGGTCAAGACTAAATGTAAAGAAATGGATAAGATCCTTCCCAGGATGTATTTATACCTTGTCCATGCATTGGTGGGTACCCGTGTAAACACTTATTTTATCAATAAATAATGTGTAACTATGTTCTACAGACAATATATGTATTATTTTATATTTAATTTTTGTTTTTAATTCAGTTTTTTATTTTATTTATAACAAATATTAAAGATTGCAATGTAAGGTCAAAAAGGGGGGTTTTCATGAAATTAGTGGGGCAAAGCTCCTAGGCATGTTATGCATAAATATCGAAAAGTTACCTAAAAAAATCACCTCAATCGAACATCAGAGTGCAAAGTTATGGCCCCCAAAAGTTTGCTTACATATTTGGTGTGCAATCTGTGACCCAATCACTGGGTTGGACAGTTTTTTACTTGGTCAATGGTTTTTGACAAATTTCCAGGTTTTTACTAGAATCGGTCCTAGAATCATGGCCGAGTAATGCTGGTCCTCACCAGCACAATGCAATTTTTGGGTAGGGAACTCCTACCAACCAAACGCTACCAACACTATTCCAACAAGCCATTGCAGCCGGCCATTGCRAACATCTCCCTTGTCATTCATGGGAAGATGTTCCCAATGTGCGATTATAGTGGCCAGTTGGAACATGTTGGGAGCATCTTATTGGTAGCAGATTTGAACTCTCAAATATAAAATTTGGGGTGTTTGATAACATCTGAATTCTTTGTCTATAGTGTAATAACGAGCTTCTTAATTTTTTTTTTCAGAACTATTAGCCTATGAGCCTATGAATGAACAGTGACAAGCAAGGTTCAAAGTATAAAAAACGCCAAGTGTATCGGAAAGGCAATTTTAAGAGATGTATCAAGATACACCTTGGATACACATGCGTATCGGAGAAAAACTAAGATATGCTTGAAAACACTATAAATACTTTAATAAATCATAAAAATGCGTCAATAACACTAAATATAAGACCTCAATGAGGTGTATATAAATTAATATGTTTTAATGGTTTTATGAAGAAATATATTGTAGTTACTTATAATTTCATTAAAAATCCCATACTTAACTATAATTTATAAATTATAATTCTTAAGTTTTAATGTTTTTCAACCATAAAACATGCATTGACACAACTTTTAAGTGAAAATATAATTTATAATTATTTATTATTTAAATAATTTTTATTTATTATTTATTTCCAAAAATTATAAAAAATAAATAAACATTATATAATATATTCAAAAAATAGTTATTAAAGAAGAAACTTCAATTGCTTTGTGGATATGATATATGATCCATAGAATTATAATATATTCAATCATTGTGATCAAATGATAAAATATAAATATTTATTTTTTTATTTTTTTAATTCTAAAAATATAAAAATAAAAAATAATTATTAAAGAAGAAATTTCAATTGGTTTGTGGATATGATAGATCATCCATATAATTATAATATATTCAATTGTTGTGATCAAATGGTAAAATATAATTAATTATTATCTATTTTTTTAATTATAAAAATATAAAAAAATCAAAAAAATATTAAAAAAGAAATTTCAATTGCTCTGTGGATATGATAGATAAATTCATAGATCTAAAACATATTTAATCTTTATAAGCAGAGAAAAATTATATTTTCAAATTTTATGTTAATTTATATTTTCCCCAAATATCTTCGTGAAATTTTCATAAATCTACTGATAACACAAAAAAAAATGTGATTTTGAATGTAAGAAATGTAGATCAACATAAATTTAAACATTCAAGAAAAAAAGAAATCACAAGATATTATAAAAAATTAAAAAAAAAACTTACCTATTTTTGCCATATTTTTTCAAAATCTGAAAAAAACTTAAAAAAAAATAACGATTCACACTTGTTTCTTGCAAAATTTTGTAAATCTAGCACTCTAGGAATGAGATTTGGAGTTTTAGAGTCATTTGAGGGTGAAATAAAGCTTATTTTAGGGAAAAGAAGCTTGTTTCCTCCTTTATTTTTTTTTAGTTTGTCTTTTCTTTTTCATCGATACGGCCCGATATGGGTCTAATATGCATGAAAAATACAAGATGCCCGATTTCCATGCACATCCCGTACATGTTTTTCAAAGATATGATAAGATACGCTCTATATCTGGTGTACCATGTCGAAATTTTAAACCTTGGTGACAAGTGAGAAACCTTGGCCTCTAACTTCCAGTGTCATAATGAGGAACACATGCCAATATAAGGGGATTGTTTTCAAAAACAAAAACAACTGCTACATAACAAAATTGTATTGTTTTTTTTTCTAACATGGCAATTATCTTTGATTTTGAACACAAAACTAACCATGTTCAACGAATTCAGATTAGTTGAAGGCAATGGCTGTTTAGCGGGTTGTGAAACCAATGATAATGTTCCTCGTGAACCCCCACTATAAAAGGTGTAGGTATTACTGGCCTGAAACATTATCATCTGTTCCATGGAGTGTTTTTTTTTTTTTTTTGGTGCAAAGAAGTCATGCTGATTATTATACTCTTGAATACTTTATTATTTAATTATTTTATCAATGAAAATACAGAGCAATAATTCATTAAGTTCGTTCACTTTAACCATTACCAAACGACCTCTTAAATTCCAACCAGATGACAGCCATATCTGGAAGGAAAAAGGAGGTAAAATAGTAATTGTCCTGAGAACTAAGTCCCCTCTCAAAAAAACAAACCTTCCTCCACATTTCATATAAATTATACAAATTGACCCCTTCTCTTAGTTTGAGTTGAGATGTTAATAAAAAAGGATAAAGTGATGTTAAAAAAAAATAATTTTGCCTAAACTTTAGAATATTAAAATATGCATTAACCTAAAAAGCATAAAAATTTCAATGGGATAAAAAAATTAGAGGAAATATCTTCAAACAACGCCACTTCTCTCTCCTCTCCCCCCTCCCTCTCACCAAATCTGTAATTATTTTTGTTTCTCCCATCATCATCGTCGTTGTTATTGTTATTATTATTTAGAATTTAACATTCTCTCCTCTAGGAATCCATTAAAATTTTGACAAAAATTCACTCTAAACCTATCAAAGTTGCACCTTAAGGCTATGTTTGGTTTGAAGGAAAAGGTATGAAAAAGTTAAAAAAACATATACAAGATTTATAAAAGTTTTCCTACTTTTCTCTATTTTTTCCTTCAAACCAAACACAGCCTTATCTATTCAAACTAAGGAAAGAACTAGAAGGAAAAAAAAAAAAAAAAGTGTGTATAACTTATCCAAAACTTGAAGTTGTCTTTCATTTTTAAATAAAGTAAGACAATCATTTGTCGTTTACCTCAATATGTTAGTCGACCACTCCCAAGCTCCAGGAGGGAGTTCACCTCCAATGGGCGCAACTTAAACTGTCTCATCTATACCCGGATATCCAACCCGAACTTCTGCATGGTTTGGACGACTTGGGTTGAAAAGGTTTGGTATTGGATTGGATATCTGGGCCTGACCTAACTAGGCTTGGATTAACACAGCAAACAAACAGAACCTAAGAGTTTATATTTGATCCTAAAGCTAAGTTTGGAGAAAGTAGAAATATAAATATGTAAATAAAAAATAATACAAAATATAAGGTTTTGCACTCTCCATATTTGTATTTGTATTTTTTTCAAACTAAGCCATAAGAGAATTAAAAGAAGGGTAATTTACTAAATCATCTCTATAGTTTCATAAATTTATTAAAACCTACTATATATTTTGCATTTTATTAAAACACCTACAGTGGAAAATAACAGTTTTAACTTTAATAATGTTTATTTGAATAAATTTAATCAAAAAATAAAAATAAAAATAAATAAGACAGAAGCAATTATTTATTTGGTAATTTTGAAATAAACAACCATGAATCCATATTCTTAAACATTTTGTACTATTTTAGAGGGTATTGTAGTAAATGACCCTAAAATTAGTTGACTTAAACCCATTTTGTTGCATTAAATGAAACAATACAATAATATTACAACTACGTCGTCACCCACCAAAATTAACAAACCATGAAATGACGAAAACCAAAGTTTCAGGCTTCGTCCCCGCTCCAATTGTTCTTCATCTTGGGGCCGGTAGGCCCTTCTTCTCCCAACACTTCACTCGGAAGGCTTTTCACAAGATTCTTAAATGCAGCCTTAAGCTTTCCGGGAAGCAGCTTCTCCACTTTCTTTATCTCCGCCGCGGTATCATAACTAATCTTTGGACCCCATTCTCTGGCATAGTTCAGCCATGGAGGTTCGACGACTGTGCCCAAGTGCTCGGCCGAGACAATCACAGGCTTCACTCCTGTGTCCATCAGAGCCTTACTCTTGGCGGTGTCGTTCCTTATTCCCACCCCGTTGCTTCCCTGCAGAACCAGTCCTGGTTTCGGATAGAATGCATGGCCATGCAAGGAAGAATAGGCGACCAACTTGTTCCCACCTTGGAACTCGAGCTCTGAGGCGTTCATCCATGTCCCCTTACTGTGCTGCGAGAAGTAAACCCTCCAGAGCTCCCCGGTGAAATTGCTGATTCTCAGTGTCAAATGCTCCCAGTCTCCAACATGTTCGCCGATTTTTCCCAGTGAAACATTTATGAACTCTATCTTGGCTCTTGCCGGCCCGTTGAATGGGTAGAATACCCAGATACCTACGTCTGTGAACGTAGCGCCTAACATTGGTTTTACGTGTATGTAGGCCTGTGAGCTTTGTAATTCACCTTTCTTCACCTTCCCTTTGTCCGTCTCATTGATGGGGAGATCCAACCAGTAAGACCCATCATTTGAACCGCCTAGGGGAAGATTGGACCCAGTTGGATCGATCGGCACAGGATTGGATTCGTCGCCCTTCTTGTAAAGTAGAGCTCCATTGTTGAAGAACCAAGTCACAGAGGAGGGGAGGTATGATTCATCAGGATGGAAGTAAATCCATGGGGAGTAAGCTTGTAGTAATGCCTCAATCTGGTTTAGATTAGGCATGGAAGATAAACTAGATTTGTTGTTCTTCAAACAAGCTAACGATGAAGGAGAAGCCGCACCCTGCGCTTCTGCTACAAACGTCCCCACACAAACACCAGGAGCCTGGGCTCCTCTAAGGGTGGGTCTCAAACTATAGACGTTCAACCCATTTGATCCCCATATCCACGTCTCACGTTCGCATTGATCGGTGAGGTCAGAACGAACACACCGCACTTTGTCTAGGGGTGGCTTCTCCGGCGAGGTTGTGACGACGTAACCAACAGCTTTGTAGCCATCCGGCGGGGTGGGTAACCAAATGTAGCCATTGCCATCTTTCTTAATTTGCAGGGATTCACTGTTCCAGACAAGAGTGTAATCCAAAGGTGTCTGGAGAGCTTCTGTTGAGGGGTCCCCTCCGTCATCTTTTCCAGCCAAGGCCCACCCGAAAAGAGGCACGTTATTGGGTTGGCTGTAGCATCCGAGCATGAAGAACCCTGCAGGTATTGGCGAAGGTTCGAAGAAGGTGGCTCCAAGGTTCCCTGGGCCCCCTTCATGGACAGCCCAAACCTTGGTGAAAGTAGAGACCAGGCAAACCTCTACCCCTCCTAGACTTATGATTCCAGTTGCAAATCCGTCCCCTGTAATTCAAAACCCAGAAAAGTTCAATGGATTTGATGATCAAGAACATCCGAAAAACGCTAAACAGAGACCAAAGTAAGCACATTCCTACAGAAACAACTGGTTAATTAATTAATTAATTACCTCGTGGCCAAGATGGTAGTGGAGAGGGAAGCTTGAATATTGTTTCAATGGGGTCCCTAGCAGCAGAAAGGGAAGTAATTAGACAATTCCCCATGGTATTGATTGAGAGCTTTTGAACTTGAAAGAAGACCAGAGAAAGCTCGATCGGTTGGGTTATATTACAGATATGGAGCAAAGAAGAGCACAAAGAGAAGAATATTAAGCATATTCTCTTGTGGGTTGATGACTGTGTATATGAAGAAGACAAGTTAATAAACAAGGGCTTTGAGTTTGAGTGGTGTAGTATAGAATTAAAAGCTATTAGTGTGTCGTGCAAGGAATCTAAATCAATCTTTTTTATTGAGTGTGTGAGCTTTCCAAACGACTTACCTTCTAAACAAAAAGGTTTTCTCTCTCGGGTCTCAACTCTCTACCAATTATAGCTGAATAGCTTCTCTTCCAATTTCAAGTCAATCAATTAACAGGATTAATTATAAGACAATGTGATCATCAACAAAGAATAGCTTTGTTTTTAGTACAAACAAGCTCTTCCAAAGTCTACACTATTTATACCCAATATCCCTGAAGTGGCTATATTGGACATATCAGGAGATCCTGATCGTCCAATTATTCTCCAGGAATGATATAGATAGTTGGTCTTAGTGGGATTCGTCAAGGTAGTTGTGACTTGAGAGGAAAGGGTTAACTACCAATCGGCCCATCAAAAAGGCTTGCTTTTGGAAGGGTTGTTATTGGCAGTATTGGAGAAGTCACAACAGCTATTTGGAATTCTTGCTTTCCCAAACAATCACATACTTTGTATGAGGCGGTTTGAGTGTGGTGTGGTCACGGGACAACAGGATTGTGGTGGTCCTCATGAGGCCCTAACTTGCCACGTGGTGCACATTCAGAGGATGAGGACCCATGATGGATGATCCCACCTTATAAGACAATAATGCTGATGCCACAATTCAGCATGATCGATACAAAAGCAGAGTTTTGATCATGCTTCAAGCTGATCGACAATAAATTGCAAGTAATGGTCTTAGGACTCTTACATATGTTCTCACATTTAGTCTCATTTCAGTGAGTAAAATGCATCTGTTTGACTTAATCAACCTAATGTTTTAAGTAGAGGTAATAATTTGTATTGATCAATTCAAAACGTTTTAAAAACATATTGGGTAGAAAAAGAATCTCTCCACGCAAATTTGTATTGATCAATCCAAAAGGCAAGAATTTATTGAATATTACATAAGCTATGTTTGTTGATAAGGCACTCCCAATAAGCCATTGAAAGTTGTTGAAGTTGATAGCCTTCAACTGACTGATGGTAGATTGGTAGGGGTGCAATTGAACCAAGCCAAGCCGAATTTTGGAATGTCTTAGCTCAAAATACTCTCTTATATTCAAATTCAAGTTCAAGTGCAATTTGATTAAATATTCAGTAAATTCTAGTTCAGATCCAATATATGTACCAGATTTATCAGTTTTTTAGCCAAACATTTTATTGGTCAAATTTGAGTTCAAATAATTAATCAAACTTACCTTGAGATTTGAACTCGATTAGCATTGCCTAATCAAATTTGAGCCGGAGGTGTTCAATTAAAGCTTGATTCAAGTGCATCCCTAATCAACAATCAACTCCAGATTTTTTTACCAAATATAGCTTATAGACCATTGTGCATCAACCCTTTTTTGAAGGTATATTACTTATACCTCCTCTTGGGTCTCCCTAAACTTACTCAACCCTTGTTGTTTGGGGTTAGGATCCTTTTTTCACACCCCACCCCACTCTCAGGTGTAGTGTTGGAAAATGCTTACTTGACATTTAAAACTTTTCAAAGGTTCAATTTACCCTTTCTAGTACCTTATTGCAAGTTGGCAATTTCTGTAGTACTCAAGAGGTGTAGTATATATCTCGAAAACTTTAACCAATCAGAAACCCTTGATTGCTTACCACTTTCAGGTACAATATTGATAGTGAGACTCCTTATTATATCAACATAAATGCCCTTATTTGTACTTGCTAAAATGACTTTTTGACTTGAAAACAGGTATAGGAAAAAAAAAATAGAACAAGATTTTGAGATGTATCTTCACATCTCATACGCGATGGGCATTAAGTCTTATGGTGGGTAAGGATTTAAGTATTGTATCAGACAACTTGGATACGGATACGAATATGCTTTGAAAATGTATGGATACGGACGAAAGATATGAAAAAACATGGATACGCTAGAAAAATACATACAAAATTTCATAAATACATCAATTATACTAACTTTAAGGTCAAAATAACCACAAATAAGGTATAAATACATAAGAAGTGTATATTTTAACGAGATATATAAAGAAATACATTACAATTAATATAATGGAATGAATAGATATCATACAATTTTGTTAATAACCCATCAATCAAGAGTCCAAGACTCATACTATATACATATTTACAAATTAACACATGCATAAAACCATTATTATATAATATTTTATTTAAGTCCAATAAACAAAACATATACAATTATTATATTTTAATTACTATATCAATTATTTTTTATTTTACTATTTTTACTTTTTAAAATTAATGAAAAATTTAACTAAATATTAAATTTTGAAATGTTTGATAAAAAATGTATTTCTTTTTGTAAATAATAAATTTTATTATAAAATGTAAATTAAAATATCAACTGATAATTTATAAAATATATAATCTTAACTTAAAATATTTCATATCTATATATTAAAATTTTTAAAATACATATCATACACAAATTCATAATTTTTAATTACTAAAATAAGTATTCTATTATTAATATTTTTATTTCAATAAATTTTCTGAAATAAGAAATCATTTTTATATAAATTTAAATTAGTGTCTTTGATAGATTCAATATAATATTGTATGCTTGAATATCTTGTAAACAAAAGTTTTGATTTTTATAAATAATAAATATGTTATTATCTAGTGTAAATTTATATATATATATAT